TTATTTATTTATTTATTTTATATGCCGCCCACATTACCAAAGGTCTCTGGGTGGCTTACAACATTTAAAATACAATAAAATTTAGAACAATTAAAATACAATTAAAATATATATAAAAATTGCCATCGGAATATGGAATGCATATAATGTCTGATTAGTGATTATTTATTCCAAAAGGAAAGTATATCAATGAGAATAGCAGAAGATTCCAAAGTGGTTCAGGAAATGATTATAATCTAAACTCAATCATTATCATATTGGTGTCATCCTCCACCTATCTAGCCCTCTTGACTAGTTCTATTCATGCCCACAAAGTCATAGGTTTTTCTTTTTTAAAAGAGTCAGTCATTTTATATGCAAACTTCTTTGTCCACATAGAACTGAAAGAGATGCCAAGGCACATTTGGAATATTTTAAAAGAAGGACTGTTGCAGGAGCAGCAAGCACTGCAATAGCATCCCATGAAATTCAATACATCCCAGAAGCTAAAAGCATGCTGGCTCTGGAAATATGAAGAGGTCAGTAGTGAAAACATATCAATTGCCATCAGTGATGTCAGAGGCACAGCTGAATAGTGGTAGTCAACTTTACCGGCCAGCACATAATCACTATTTACTACCACCCAGCACACTCTACTTAAATATTATAAAATTACATAGCTTGTGCTTACTGTTTTATAATCTAATAAAAAAATTGAGGGAGAAGGAATATGCACATGTTATGCATGCTAAAATGCTTTGAATTGCTTTTGTCTTTGGATTATTAAGGGGATAAGCCAGCTGCAGCGCAGCGCTGGAGAGGTAAGCCAGGAAGAGAGTTCTATGCCACAGTTAAACCTATGGATTCTTCAGCTCCTGCAAAGGAGGGCCACTAACGCCCTTCACTTCTGTACCACATGCTGCTAAACCATGGTCAAACAAACACCTGCAAAAATTTGCAGAACTGAAGTCTCCAAAGTCATTGCAACACCCAGTAAACACATCAACCTGGAACAAGCCCATCTTTCAAGATGCAGCTGCTTCCTCTTCACAATAGAAAATGCTACACTGAAGGAATGCACAACAAATGAATAACAACCTCACACATACGGTGCTATAAACTGGTCATTTGGCAAGGCCTTCCATTCGAGCAGCAATGGCCCTGTTCCAAGTGTCAGGCCTCAGATGAATCCCACAAAATATACAGAAAGACAATTAAGTTTCCCCCCCTCTTTCTCAACGTATCTTTTCCCCCTCAGAAATGAAAAATATTTATTAGAGAATGGCTGAAATCATGTTGTTTTCTTACACAGGCAGAAGGCAATCTACTTGCTTTTACCCAGCAATTAACAAGTCTCCACTTGATTCTTGAACACGAGTAACCCTGCAGAACCTACCCCCCCCCCAAAATGCAGTGGTGACTTTTGAAATTGATAGCTAGAAGTGAATGTTATGTGGTTTGCTTTCCACTTCCATAGCAAAGCAACATGATTTGAGCCACTGAGGAGCAGAAGTAAATTTTCCATATTTGTTTTGTAGCTGTTCTGACACTCTCTGTGCACTTGGTCCATTTGTGTATAGGCATAGGAGCTTTTGCCCCTTTGTAATACAATGATCCAAGTTTTAAACCCCATAACCAGAGTTTGAGGTTATATACGGTTATACTATAAGGACAATTTGGTACATTTATGTACCATCAAGTTGGAACCGACTTGCAGTAACCCTAATAGGGCTTTCAAGACACCGCCAGTGATAGGCCTGAGTGGAGATTCAAACCCAGGCCTCCTGAGTCCTAGTCTGTCATCCTATCCACTACAGCACACGATCAGACTGTGATACATACTAAGTGACTATTTATGGATTTTTAAAAAATAATCTGCAGTTGGTCTGGCCTTAATATATCAACTTCAGTTTCGACAAGGAGGCCTATGGCCAGGCTCAAGTTGCTATGGCTGGCCTCTACAAAGACTGGGGAATTCTCTTTGGAAATAGAGCAGGAGTGGTGGGGGAAGGGAAGGGTGTCCATGACACAAGCCAGAGCAGATTAGAGGAGTGAAAGAGCCTCGTTTATCCTGTCCTGGGGAGAGATTTACAGCCACAGAGCTGTTGATGAAGGCTAGCAATTCAACCATTTTAATGAGCCTGCATTGCCCTTGAATGCCACTCCAGCCTTTTCCACTGACACATTTTCCTCAATTTGGAACATGCTGCTGGGAAACTGGCAAAAAAGGAGAAAATAATTTGTTGTGGCAGTATCTGGGAATGAGGTCCTCATACGAGGGCACGGAAGAGGCTGCTTCTTCTAGACCAGATCCCATAACCTCTCTCTCTCTCTCTCTCTCTCTCTCACACACACACACACACACTCTCACTCACTCACTCACACACACACACACTGTATATGTCTGGGTCAGAGATTGCAGATAACAATATGCATTTGAAAGAGCAATTTCCTCTTATTCTGGAGACTGAAGGATGAGATGAAAAAAATGGGGATGTTAATGAGGTAGTAGCTGATACTGGTGCAATGCCAGCACCTTACAATTCTTGAAACTCTAGCAGCCTTGGAAAAAGGGGTAAGGACTAAAAATAGAAAATTGGGAGCTAGGGAATCGGAGTGACCCTACTAGGGGAAATAAAAGATATTTGTAGGAAGGATGGAGAACTTTCTCTAGACCCCAAGGATGGAAAAAGGCTGAGGTGAAACTATGGCCTGCCACAACCCCCTTGCATTGACTTTGGCCAATTTGCTTCAGCTTCCTGCGCCGCCGAACTCTCTCTTTGCCACCCTTGAATGTCACTGCACCAGGGTCTCCTCTTTCATTAGGCCTCTAAGGCCCGCTGCAAAGAGGGAGGCCTGTCGCTGTTTTGAAGCTCAGTGCTGCAAGCAGGCCCAATAGGCCACGGAAGTTGCCCCCTGTGTGTTTGGGAATTCATTCCAGCATGGCTACAGGGGCACAAAAGCCCCTATTGTCCCTGCCTGTGGGAGAGTCTCTGGGTTTTGCTCAAAGTAAAACTGAGAAACAGCAAGAAATGTGCTAGTAAAAGTGAACTGCTCAGCCTTGGCCCTTCAGGTGGTGGTAGGGGTAGAAAGGGGGAGAAGAGGGGCTGAGAAAGGAGTTGGAACAAAGCTGTGTTTGTAAACAGGCCTCTGTTGCCCTGCCGAGCTCTTGGGGGGCTCTTGCAAAACACAGCCGGTTGGGTCACAGGCCCAGCAAGGGTAAAAACCAAAACAAAACCAGCCCCACTCTCCCTTCTCCTGGTCTCATTACTTCCCCAGTGCTAAAGCGGTAATTGAATCTGACGCACAAAAGGTAACTCTGAATGCAGAATATATTCACTGGCCCCAGGAACCAGTGCTTGGAGGAGCCTAGTGAAACAGCCACAGTTGCCTCACACTTGCTCCGACAGAGCCATCTGCTGGAAAACCAGAGGATTTACTATGCAGCCGACAGAGGACCAAGTCCCTTGTGTGAACACAGGGCCAAGAGATGTAAACATTTTCAGATGCTGCCACAATGCTTCAGAGTGCTGTGAGGGCATGGATCACTGCTTTATACAGTATGTCCTGCTCAGAAAAAGGGGAACATGTCCTGTTTAGCATTCTCCTTCCTTAGGCACAGATTTAACTGTAACAGAACACAGAGCTTAGAAAAGCTTCTTCTTCTTCTTACTACAACCCACAGTCAGCACATCCAAGTGGATACGCTGGCTGAAAGAATCTGGGAGTTGTAGTCAAGAAAGTATATTTTCTAAGTTCTGTATGAGTCAAACCATCATTAATACTGTATTATCTAAACTGATGACTAGTGGTTCTCTTACTTTTTCAGAGAGGGGAATTTCCCAGCTTTACTTAAGATGCCCGATAATGAAACTAACAATTTCTTAGGTATGCTTCTAAATAAATGCTTCATTTATTTTTAAAATAAATGATGGGCTATAGCAGTTTCTGTTGCAGTCTACTACTGCCCTCTAGGACCCTAAAGTAGCAAGTCCAAATGACACACAGGCTAAGCTTGGGGAAAAAAGTTGTTTGGGCCACTGGGAAATACTAAGAACACATTTAAAAGCAACAGAGCACAACGATCCGTTCAACACTCTGTGCCCCCCCCCCAACAGCCAGTCACTAAGGAAAAGCCTGCCTAAAATGAAAGGTCTTTGCCTAGACTTGGAAACTACAGTTCAAAAAAGTAACACTTCCAAACTACCTAGTGGTATTGTTATAACAGAAGAGAGGGACCTCTCTTGAAATTTTAGTCTAGGGAAAAGCATCGACTGCACAACTTTAGGTTTACAACACTTGAGACAGATACAGTGGTGCCTCGCTTGACAATGATAATCCGTTCCATTCAAATCGCTGTTAAGCAAAATCGTTGTCAAGCAAAAGTAAAAAAAACCAATTGAAATGCATTAAAAACCAGTTAACGTGTTCCAATGGACGAAATACCTTATCGTCCACCGAAGATCCACCATAGGGGAAGCCATTTTTGATCGCTGTCTTCCGGAAATGGGTCCGGAAAACAGTGGGAGGCCATTTTGAAAACCCGATCCCGATGATCAGCTGTAAAGATCGTCGTGAAGCAAAAAATCAGTTCCCGAAGCAGGGAACCGATCGTCGTAAAGCAGATTTTCCCCATTGAAACATCGTTTTGCGATCGCTATAGCGATCACAAAAACCTAATCGTTAAGCAATTTCAGCGTCAAGCGGGGTAATCGTCAAGTGGGGCACCACTGTACTGTGCTACTGTAGGCCTGTAAAGTGCTGTCTGCAGCAAGCCAGTACTACTAGAGGATATTATGGTTTTCATGGGTGGGCATGAGTTCCCACTGAAATCCTACCTGGCTCAAATACTGTACATACTGTTCACAGACCCAGTCATCACTCTCTCCCCAGCCGTTGTCCACAGTGCTAATATTGAGTGGGGAAAAAAGCAACTGGAAACTGTAAAGTCTTCTGCATTTTCACGTAAAAGAAAAGTATACACCAAGGTAGTCAGCCCATTTCAAGTTAAATTCAACTGGCCGAAGGAGAGGGGGATGCACCCAGAGGTTAGTGCAGATGGACATAGAACATTCTCAAATCTCTCTCCCCGTGCCCAACCCTCTGAACTAAATTTCCAAGCTAAGACATTTCTGTTAACCTATTCACCAACCAAGTTAATTCAATATGGTAGTAATACAAGGAGGCATACTAGGCAGAGGTATCGACTAGAGGAGTTGGATGAAGCCTGACTGGCATCTCCAAAGGAACCCCTCAGTCTTGTTTGGGCTTAGAATAAAACAGAACAATTACTGTTGGATGAAGCCTGACTGGCATCTCCAAAGTCTTGTTTGGGTTTGGAATAAAAAAGAACAATTACTATAGAAGCATCCTCCAGGACCACATGCATGCACTCACAGCAAATGTATCTGATGTGGTAACTTTAGGCAATAATAGATAGTGATGCACCACCACCAGCCTATTGGCTATCACTACAAAGATAGTGTATATTTGCACATCTATAAACATATGTACTCACAGTCAAGGAAGCACCACTTGGGGGATAGCTTCTGGCATGACAGTGTCTTTGGCTTGGCTCCATCCCCTTCCTGCATTACAATAAAACAAAACATTACAATACAACAAAACAGATTTTCCAACTGCCTTTCCATCCATGTCATAGTTTCATACATTTCTTCCAGCATGCTCCTGCACAAGTGAATGCAATCTACGTTTTTTGAGAGAAACATGAAGGCTAGAGCATGTACATATGGTTCAGCAGAGGCACACTGAATGGCACTGGAGAGATACTGATGCACATGCCTCATGTATGACAGAAGCAGGAAAAGGGAAAGAAGGGGCTTCCAGCAACCAAGAGAGGGAGAGGATACACACCTGAGGAAATAGGCTCTGAACATTGGAAGGGCATGAAGAGAAATCCTGCAGAAAGGGAAGGAGCTGGATTATTGCAACACATATGACACATCTGCATCTTTCCCACAGGGATCTGCAGCTGGCTCCAATGGACTTGCATTAGTTTGTGTAATGCAAGAATGGAGTCCACATGTCACTGCAGGCAAAGGGCCATCCCAGGCGCAGGGAGTAAAATTGGGGGGGGGGAAGTGGGGGAAAGATGGTGAAATCATATGTTAGGAAATCATGAGATTGCAGTTCGAGTGTGCATCAGGCTACACCAGCCCATCCAGGAAGTATATTTAATCACTGCTGTTTCCTTGAAATGAATATTGTGAATGGTGCTTTTATTTCAGACTTTTAGGAACATTTCCCTCCTAATTACAGCTAATGTTCACTGATGCTGCAGTTCTACTTCTCAGGCTTGCCACCTTCTGAAAGCTTGAAGTCTCTATTTGTGCTTTTTACTCAAATAGAGACTTCAAGCTTTCAGAAGGTGGCAAGACTGAGAAGTGCTTTTTACCCAAATGCACAATGTGGAGTGACAATCATGGAGTGAAAAGTATGATTTTCAGACTTCACACTGGTTACAATTAGCTTTAGAAGAACATACCTTGTCCTGGAGAAGAATTCTGAACATTTTATTGGGAGCTAGTTCATGAATACCATCAGTACACTGGAATTCTCCATTTAACAGATAAATTTAAACTGCAAGAGAACCAACTAGAACTACATGAGGGGAAATGGTCAATGAAAGGTCTTGATTGTTTGCTTTATTTGTAGGGCAGTTTTTAAAGGAAACTCTCTTATCTTAAATTGTTCAGTAAAGATACTCTTTTCCCAACACTACCTAGGAACACTGTTGTCTTCCAATGTTTTTTTAAAAAAACAGGGAAATTCCCAAAACGGAAAAAGGAAGCCTTAAGTTTTAAAAGAAAGTTATGTTTGAAGTTAGGCTTGCCCCCCCCCATCCCAAGTAAGAAAATTTAGATAAGAAATCACTTCTTCCCCCATCTTCACTCAGATAATGGGCACGGGCACTCTAATGCAATTTTTGTGTGTGTATGAACTTCTAAGCCAACTTGCTATGATAGGAATATTGGTCAAAGTCCATTATCAGGGATTTAATGTGTCCCCCCAAGTACTCTATTAAACAAAATTTGGACTTAAAAGGTGTCTTCCTGCCTGCTGAAACATACAGTAATTCTATTTTTTTTTTTAAAAAAAGATCACTAGAGGGCATGAAATCCTTCCTCCACAATTGTAGAAAGCCTTAAAAGAAGTATTCAGGGGGGCATGAATGGGATGTGAGACTAGATATGGCCTTTCAAGGTTGAAGGGACCACATGCAATCCTTGAATTGCTGGATATTGCCCATCACTACACTAAAGCATAAACCCACTAGAAAGACCACCCTTTATGTTCATGGTAAGCAAGAACTGAAACAAACTTCTGCTTTAATTCCAGTCATATGCCACTTAAATAGCACTAAGATTATGTCAAGGGTACATTCTCCCCCCACCCCATCTTCCAAATGATTGTGTAGACTCTTACTTCCTGCAGCCTCTCAATGTGAGTCCGGCACAACTCCAGGTCACTGTCTCCTGGTACAACAATAATTCCCAGAGGAACAGCTGAAAAGTTATATCAGAAAATATATTTCAGCCTGCAGCCCAGATTCATAACGACCCACCCTCCCAAATTTTCACTTAACTAGAGGCAGGAGACAATTAATGTGTGCAGCCCACATATACACTTTCTTAACAGGAACTCCTAATTTCAGAGTACTCCCTGGAGAAGTCTTCTGGGCATGCAGAAATTTAGCTCATCAGGCAAAATGCTAAACCAGATGCACTAGCATCTCACAAGCAGGAAATTCTAATGTGGGAGCTCTTTCAAACAAGATACCATTTGGTAGGATGTTACTGTGTTACATTAATTAAATATGAACAGGCTGAGCAAAAACGCAGAAGGTAAAAAGGTGCACGTTTTTTGATGCCAGTTGCTTTTCCACATTGTCTTGTTGTAACCAAGTCTCTTTAGCTACACAGCCATGGCCCAGGGCCCTAGGATATCCCTGCAAGCTCCCCTTATCTACAGAGGCCCCAACAGCCTGGGTTAAGTTTCCATCTACTCACAGGCCTCCTTCAACTTCTCCTTGTCATAATGAAGTGCCTCATAGTCACGCATGCCAATTCGGCTCACACGAATTCTAAGACGTTCTGGAACCGGCTGCTGACTGCATAGTAGGAAGAAAACATTAAAGAACAATTAGGGTGTGTGCCCAAAGTGTGCTGTCGGCAGATTGAACTACCCACCTTAAGGTACATGGGATGTTAAAGGTGTCCCAGTCCAACACTCTGTCCACCACACTGATTCTCAACAATTAGGGAAGGCCCACTAAAATGGGAAAGTGGATATTGTTGTGGATGGAGAAGGGGAGAAAGGGAAGCCTAATAAAATCCCAGAAAGCATCAGGAAATGTTTCAAAATAACAACATCTCTTAATAGTATTAAACTAATAACTTGCCTGTGGGCATTTGTTGACTCCACTCCTTTGTCTGGCCTAACAGCCACTCCATGCTTACAGTGCGAACAGAATACTGTTCACACTGTAAGCATGGAGTGTTCACTGTTCACACTGTAAGCAAGGAAAGGGTGCCACAACTCTCAGCTTTTTTGAGAATATTCTCTTTTATGAAATAATGATTGCATCTCAAACACTGATTACTCCACAGGGGAGACACAAAACTCTTCCAAACCTGCCCCTTTCAGACTACCTATATCGTGCTTGGAGACATAATACAAATTCATCTTCTCACTTCTCCAAAGGGAGTGATTACACAGCTAGAAAAATGCAAAAGGACCTGCTGTGAAGTTGCAGCTGAGAATTCAGGTTTCTCAGGGTTAATTTGCATCACCTGACCACACAGGAGACAGCAGAGAGAGGGGAAGAATTCAGCCTTGTATTAACACTTTGAATCCTCTCTTCCCCATTCCTGTTGCCTGGACCTGCTTCTTTTCCTGTTCCATTTCTTTCTTTCTGCTTGCTGTACAAGTGCTAAGGCAACTGAGTGATGAAAGGAGGAAAAACAGGGAGGAATGAGCAGAGAGAAGCAAAGTATCAGCCTTGTTTCTGGCTTAAGGCAGCTCTGTTCTGGCCCTCTAGAATTTCAGCAGACATAGAGCAGAGCTACTTTAACAAGCTGGAAACAAGACTGATTCATAACTTCCTTTTCTCTCTTTCTCTTTCTGCCAATTCCTTCTCCCCCACCCCTCCTTAAGGTCACCAAGCTATCCTACTGGAAAAGCAAGTCTTTAAAAGAAAATAAAAGGGAGGAAAGGGGAAGACAAGCAGATCCAGGCACCAAGTGAGGGGAAGAGAGGACTTAAGTGGTAGCAGGTTTCATGGCTGCTGGAGCAAGCTAGAATGGCTTCAAATAATACACATACAAACCCCTCCATGTCAGCTCAGGTGACGGCACCACCTGAACTGATACGAATCTATTCAGTTCCAAAAAAGTAGAAGCACCACCCTTAGAGGAAAAAAATGGATTGGGGAGAAAAATTCTGCACTGATTGTCAGTGACTTGTATGCCATAGATAATAATATGAATCTGGCCATGTGGATGCCCCCTAACATAATGTAGGAAGCTATGCACCTTGGAGCTTGTGCCAATTATTAATTTCTCTGAGTAAGTGATACAATTCTTCTCCCAAACCAAGTGGGGCACTGAGGGACTCTTTATTTCTTCAGAATCCCCTCCTGTGGGCTTCCATGACCTCTATTCCTTTCTTATCTCCATTTCAAAAGATTGTGCATTAAACAGAGGGTAGAGAGGATGGAAAGGAGATATTTTATGGAGTTCATAATAGTTTTTAAGTAGCTAGTGAACTCCTTGTACTGGTGCTAGAGATTTTTAACTCTTGGCAGTTTACTAGATTTTATGAATTTTAAATGATTAGAAATAGCTTTCTGATGGCTTCAGATACAGTGACGTCTAGCAGAAATCTTTGAAATACACTGAGAGAGAAATTCAACTCAACTAAGCTCAAATAACCCTTGAGATTACCAAGTGCTCCTGGTAAAGGAACAGGAATCTGCCATGTTAGCAGAGCAGAAGATCACCAAAATGTAAGAATTAATTCTTTTAACAATTGAGGCAAACTTCATTTCTTGCACCACAGCTCTGGAGATGCCCCCCCCCCCCCCGTATCAGTCAGAACATACTCATTCAGCAGGGGCATGGAGTTGCGCCTCTTGGTCTTCTGCACCATGTTGGCCTGGTTGCGCAGGGAAATACGGATACGAGATGCACCCAGCTTACAGGGCTCTCCATCCACTTGCATGGGAATGGCCTTGGAAGTGGTGAGCAGCACCTCTCGGCACTGATGCAGGCGCTCCCCATGGCCACCAACTTGCAATGCTGCCTGCAAAAGAAGGAGCAGCGTGAATGGGAAAGAAGACAGACACTCATCCGCCACTTGTTGATTATATGGGAACTGAACATGGTCATATAAAGAAGTTGCCACTGTTCTCACCAAATGTGGACAGTAATTGCTTAGTTAGTCCCTGTTTTCCCAGGAATGTCCTCAACAGTCTCAGTTGGCACAGGCAGAATGAGGTAGTAAGTCATTATGTGTAACGGGTTCACTTCTTGCACCTGACTCACCAGCCGTTAGTTGCTTGACTGACTTACCAGGGATGTCATGGTGAAGCCAATGACCTCAAGGCAACCATCATCATGGCGCTGGGGCTCAAAATCATGGTGCTCTCCAGGATTGCCCCAAGGCATGGTGCCCGCACAATACCTGCACATAGATGGGGGCAAAGGGAAGACTGTTAGGGATACACAACAGCACACTTTGAATCCTGGCCAGTGGAAGTCAGAAGATGAGAGATAGTGAAAAAGAGGGGCTGTTTTGCAGGAAGAGCAACCACCCACCTTGGAATGTTTAGGAAGACAAGGCATTGAGGCTTCAGATCCTGGATCTTGGGGGTCAAGTCTGTTCCGTCACACTAATTTAAAGGAGAAAGGTGGGGGGGGGAAGGCAACAGACAGCTGACAAGACTTGCTGCAACAAGGAAAAATCTCAAACATACTCTCTTCTCTGTAGGGAAAACAAACTCTCCCTGTCTCCCAGGCAACTTGTTCATCCAGTGCTTTCTATGGTACCTTTATCCTAATACTGCAGCAGACCAACCTTCACATTCCACCCACGTGATTGGGCATTTTGAGGCCTCAAAGTGCGCAATCAGCTCCCTGACATACTCACCACCACTTTGATATGCTTTGCTAAGTCTCTGGAGCTCCCCATGAGGAAATCAGAAAATGCTGTCTGCCAGAAGAAATAAAACCTAGTTAGTCCCACAGAGGATCACTTTGCATTATTCCAACCCAGATGTAAATGGAAGTGGAGAAAAAAGATGCATTTGAGCCAATATCACCACTTTTATTATGTTTGCATATGTGCAATTGTCTTCATGTCTCAAATGAACAAAACAGAATAGCAAGGAGAGCAGTTTGAGCAGGAATGGTGCAGCATGAACACTCCTAACTGCTTCCTACAACACTGATAGTCTTCTCATTGACACTGACACTGTTACGTGGAACAGCGCACAGATCACTACACACACTTGACTTGGACAACTCTGAATGTGTATATGTGACATTGCTATATCAAGACAACATTCTTGTCGGGCATCTCGCGTCTTGTGATGAGATGAAAATGTTCCCTTGTTACATTCATGGACTGGAGGCTAAAGGCAGAAAAACTACACTTAAAGCAAGGAGTGGGGGAAGTAGCTACTGTGTTTCCTAATACACCCCCTACAGCTGTATGTTTCTAGATTTTCTTTTGTCTTTTTGTCCAAAATCTCCATTACCTCCATGTGTACATTTTTCAGAAAAGGTTCCACAAAGATCTTTAGATCTAGCACTGATTTCATCAGAACTTTTCAAACTACTTTTTTTGAAAAAGGCTTGGCAGTGTTTTCTGACAATAAATCAGCATTTCTACCTCTCCTCTGTCCAACAGTCTCCACTGACGTTGCTGTGTAGATTTTAAATGGTGAAACCCCATGGCTGCAAATGTATTCTTCTCATAATTATAAGTACATCTAGGAGTAATAACCTAGGCACTCTAATGGAATGTACAGCCAGATACTTTGCATGTGAAAAGAAGTTTAGACTAGTTTTGACAGAACATCCAGCATGTGAACTCACCCCAGCATAGAACATTTTATTCCGAAATCGGCTGTTGAATTTCTCCGGATTAGCCTCTGAAGAAAGAGGGCCGTTATCAGTCACATGTTCTCAGCAAGCATTGCCCACCCACTCCCACATCATGGCTGCAGTGTATTCTATGCTGCAGTTTTTCTACAGACACAGAAAAATAACATATCAGTGAAGAGAGCACCTGCAGGGGTTGTAAAAATTACTTTTTTGGACTGCAACCTCCAGATCTCCCAAGCAGCATGGCAACTAGCTTTGCTCCCTATATACTCCAAAGATGACAATAACTTGCCTCTACACATTCATGACAGTATGTTGTGTCACAGGATTAGTGCACTGGGGCTGCTTCAGCATTAAGAATAAAATGATCCTTCACATCTTAGGTTGAATGGAAAGACTTTTGTTGCCAAAACAATTGCCTTTCAATCATTATGTTTCCCTCTTGCAACCCTCCTATGTTCATTAAGCAAGTTATAACTTCTCCACCTCCAGTTCATCATCTCGCCCTGCCACAAAAAGCCACAGCTATGCCTTCTCACATCTCCCCATCTTCCTGCTTCTTGGCTGTGACAGGATGCCATTTACCTCTGGACTCATGGAATTCCAGCGTCACACGAGCATCAAAACCAAGACTGAAATAATTATTGAAAACATCAAGAGGGAGCTGAAATAGACAAAAAGAAGCAGCATTTTGGAACCATAATGAAGGCAACTTTTCAATTAGTCTTTTGATGTTTGTAAGTAACTGATATACAAGAAAGGAATGTGAACTCCCTTGACATTCTCCTGTAAAGAATTTGCAGGGCACTTTGCAGACAAAATTGCCTGCATCTCCTCTGATTTGGATACTGTGGTGGACTAGGATCCAGCGCACACATGGTGGATATGACTTTGGCCTTTGCTTGTCCCAAGGTAATGGATACATTTCAATTTGTGCAGCCTCTAAGTGTGGAGATAATCCTTGGAGAGCTGAGAGCCACCATCTGTGTCCTGGATCCTTGTCCTTTCTGGCTTAGTGAAGTGAAGTGAAGAGTGAAGTGAAAGTGAAGAGAGAGTGACGCTGCACTGGTAGATAAAGGGAGTGAGAGAGAGACCTATAATTTCTCCAGGTGGGGGATTAAGGAGCTCATGAGCTGGACAAATTACAACATGGAAAACAGCGGGTCAGAAAAGGATTAAAGCACACCCATACCCCAATTCTCTCTTTGGGACGACCCTTTGGAAGTGACTTTAACATTGAATGAATCTTCAGTTTCACTTCCAAATAACACATCACATGTTAGGAATAAACAGAAATGAAAAGAGAAAGTCCAGATGCTAATTTTGTTGGACACAAGCTACAGATTTCCGCAGAAAGCATCAATCCTGCTGGATTTTGGATTACTCCAACATGCCATCACACCCTTTATAATTAACACCGAGACAGGACCTGGACATTTGTACTTTACTCACATTCTTACCTGGGATGTATAATCTGCTGTTATTCTATTATTATGAGTGTGTAAACAAAAGACTACATAGAACTCTGAAGAACCGCCAACTCTCTCTCTCAAAAAACAAACAAACCCATAGCTATAAAGGCTAGTAGCAAGGGAACAGGCTTCAAACTGGTGGCTGTTGGTTTCTCCCGCCCCCACCATAACACATATTGTTTCTTTGTTTTACATTCACATTAATTTGTTCTTATTTGTCTGTTTGTTTACTTTATATACAATCCAACAGTGTGGAACACACTCTGAATTGTTAACAACCAATTCATAAAAAATTACAAATAATACAATAACAACTATAAACATAATCAAACAATAAATGAGAAAATAAAATGATTCGCTGAATCTGACATAAGTAAACAAATTTAAACCACAGTTGGATATTAAATGACACACTTTAATAAAAGGCACTTTAACAATTCTGTTTTAAGTAACTTCTTAAAAACTGGGAGAGCGGGCACCTGGCAAACCTATATGAGACTCAGTGTGAGAGAAGGAATAGAGAAATGTGCTCAGCACACTGTATTTGAGAGCAGCAGCTGAAGTAAAAGTGCAGGATATTAACACTGGGTTTAGAGTTACAGTGGTACAGGTCTTACCTTTTCTGTTGCTGCCTCATCCTTCTCGTCAGGGTTTCCATCAATGTTCGGCTCTACCTGCAGATTCCAGCGGTCAAGCTGCACAATCTCCCCCTCTTCTACATGTGACAGAATCTTTGACAAGGGCTCATCTGTATAACCCTATGAGTTGAGATATTTTCATTTATTTATTTCATTTATACTCTGCCTTTATGCGCAGAATCAAGGAAGCTTACGAAATGATTTTTTAAAACTAATTCTACTAAAAGCAAGAAAGAAATAATAGCTATGCATTTAAGTATTTAATAAGATCAAAGGACCTCTAACTGAAAAAACTACTGGTTGCACAAAGCCCTCAAACTTTGGGCTGGTGGTTTCATGTATCGAGAGAAAACTGGGCTCTGAGAGACTCCACAGGCCAAAGGAAAGTATGTTATGCAGGAAGCCCCCAGTGCAGCCTTTTGAACTTATCCAGGAAGGCTTAGAACCAATGCAAAACTGTCTCCAAGTTCTGTCCCAAACAGATGATCCAGAAAGATACCATGGTCAATGGTACCAAATGCAGGTGAGAGGTCCTGCAGAAGAACCATCAGGGACATACTTTCTCTATCAAGATCCCAGCATCAAGGCAATCAAAGCTATCTGCCTCCCATAACCAGTCTTAAAGCCAATGCTCTTTATGAAAAACTGAGACAGAGAAGAATAAAAATCTTTAGCTGGCTCTCAAAACAGACTCATTTAAAAATATTAAGTACTGAATGGCTCACTGAACTGGAAGATTCTTACCCCACCCCAGTTCAGCGTCCTTGCCAGGTCATTTCCTGTCCCCAAAGGAAGGATGGCCACAGGAGGTGGAGGCTGCAGGCGTAACTGGTCCAAGACAGAGAGGATCCACCCCACCTATCAGATGAATATGAATAAATATGAATGAAGACAAGGTTTCCTCCCAACCCCTCTTGTACTATTGCAACCCAGGGTTATTCAGTGCAGATAAGAAGTATGAAATTCAGGAAAGTTAAAAGGAAATACTTCATACAGCCAAGTTAAACACAGTTAAGTGATCAATAGCTCTTGCTGGCATAAGATCTACTGATTGCTTCCATCCTGTACAGCTTTAAAAGGGAAGTTATGTCCATGGAGGATAAAGATATCAAGGTGTGATGGGTGTTAAAAGGCAGTATAGCTTTCAGTAACACTTTCTAGAGAAGACAAGCAGGAGGCTGCTACTTCATTCGTGGTCTGCTATGGGTTTCTTATAGGCATCTGATTGTTTAGTTTGAAAGAAAATCCAGGACTAAACAGACCTTTGGACTGATCTAGACTAGCACTGTTCTGTGATTTACCGTAGCTAGCATTTTAGCTGAAGAGTGAACACTGGGAACTGGGACATATCATCTTTACTAATTATAGCTGTGTTCCAGAATCTGGTCGGCCCATACTTTTCATATGAGTCACAGTTATGAAACTATCTGCCCTCTGAAAGAACCCAGGTCCGGGTTCTGCTGTGAGTGCACAGCTTCATCTTTCTATAGTTCATCAAGTGCTAAACAGATCAACAGTCACTTACCGTACCATCACCCCCACATGCCAGAATCCGTAAATTATGCACTTTACGATACATTTCTAACCTGCACAAAAACCCAGAAAGAGTGCCGGTGAAGATGGGAAAAGGGGAATAAGCCATGTGAATCTTAATCATAGTCCTGGGTGCATGTGTGTGTCTCTGTGTGTGGTATGCCTTCATTCTGGTGGACACAGGAGTAAGCTAAAATCACAAAGGACTCTTTGTGACTTGGACTACATTACTTAGATCGAGGTATCAGATCCAGTATCTAAGCTCAAAATTACTGTGTCTTTCTTTCTACAAGAAGCAGAAGGCCAGTTTAGGAGAGCTGAAGTACTACTATCTGTAGCACGAGTACAACTGCATCTAAAGGTTATGCTAAAGCAAGGTTGGCCAACCTCCGGCCTGCAGGCAATATGTGAACCATGGAACATATGTGGCACCCAAGACCCACTGTGGTACATATGGCACCTCACAGCCCCAGAACACCTGGGATCCTGCAGCACTTCCAATTTTTTTTAAAAGAGGGAAAAATACACTTTGCTCAAAATATCCCCTTGTGACCCTGAGCGGCAGTGTGGCCTTTGGCCGGATGGGCGGTATAGAAGTGTAACAAACAAACTTTGTCATGTTTTGGGCCCCCAGCACCTCCCAAAACTATGAAAATATTTAAAAAATTCTTATCATTAACCACTAAAAGATGTAAGAGGGCTTTTCCAGTTTAACCACTCCCGCTTTTTTATTGTAGCAAAATTTACAGAAACTCTTAGGTTTAAATTTCTTTTAAATTATTTAAATATGAAATATCAATGTCAGGGCTACACCTCTCCCCTTTAGGTCCAGCCCCTTGGAAGTGTGGCCTTCAGAGTGCCAGCAAATCTGAAAAATGGCTCTTAGGACCCACTGAAGTCACCCACTCCTATGCTAGAGCTTTGTAATAAATCTGAGAAACTTAAGTTGCCATATAAAGCTTGCATGGTCCACTTGCGATAAAGCATTCTCTTTTATCTTAATCCATCTTCTAGTGTTGTTTAGTCCTCTTCTTTTCTTTAGACCAATGATTTTTGACAAATTATACTTCGCAGTATGCCAGGCAGTTTTGAGGGGCACTGGTCGGAAATACCCACTTTGAAGAGCTAAAGATTAGCAGGATTATGAACTGGTTTGCCTTTTAGATTTTGTTGAACTCCAACTCTTATCAGTCTCAGCAAGCATGGCGAAGGGCCAATGCTGATGGAAACTGTAGCCTAACAGCACCTGGAAGCCAACAGATCTTACAATGTTGCATCCAGATGCATATCCATTTAGCTTCCGAAATGGCATAACTTCACCAAGAGCAATGAAAGATCTCCTGCCACCTAAGGCAGGAGTATCATCATCAAAGTATCATCAAAGTATCATCCCTGATTGTACCAGTGCATTGGAATACAAACCACAGGAGAGGAAGGGGTAGCCAGTGGCCATATCTGCCCTAGTTGGCTGTCCTGTATCTCTGTCCGGCTTGAAACATGGTGCAGTGGTCCTATTGACCACCTGCCAGAAAACAGGGCAGATATGGCAACTGCAGCACCTGCCAGCTAGGTTTGTTGCAAAACACACACACACACACACACACACACACACCTAAAAGTTGTGGGGAGGGAGGATGCATTAATAGCATCCTCTTCACCACCACCACCACCACCAAAGGAGAGAGATGCAGGTGATGGACATAAACTGTGAGAGACTGGATTTACCAGGAAGGGTGCACTGCTCTCTTGGTATGTGGCCCTAAGGGTGGTGAGCACCGCCACCTTCTAAGGAGTGACTACAAAACTCACCTGTGTGATTTTCCTAGTCACTCCTCCCACAAGGCTTGGCTCTGAGGAGCCCTTGGAGTTAAAAGGTCGAGGAAGCAGTCACTCTGGAAAGCTATGCACAGTATCAGCAGCTCTCCAAACTGCTAGGGACCCTGCCCACATAAAGCAACCACCCCACTGGGGCCAATGTAAGAGCTAGCTCTGCGCATCAGCTGCTCCCAAGACTCTTCACTTTTCTGAGTTTAAAGTGCCACCCCATCCCTTTTTGGAAGTAAGTAAAGTGCCAATGCAGTAAATAAATAAAGACAGATTATATGGGCACTTTCCCAGGAATTTCACTCCTCTCCTGGAAAGGAGGCATTGAAAGGACTAGGTTTTCCCCAAACTGTTACTCACGCCTCTTTGGGGCCTCCTTGGCTTAGGTCAAATACTTGTCGAGGGTTGAGGTACCACATAAATGATTGGATTATCTTTGTTCCCTAAAGGCACAGAGGAGAAAGAAAGGAGCCAAGAAAATTGGAAACGAGCTGCAGAAGAACTAAGGCTAAAAGATGAACAGGGTAGCATATGTTTGCAACCAAAATTCTGGAATATTAGAAGATTAAGCCTACCTGATTTCCACCACTTTTGGGGTTCACAAACACCAATAATGGCTTCATAAGTGGTGCTGGAATGGGCTTGATTACAAAGGGTTTCCATCGCCCTTCCTGTAAGAGATACAGCGTAAGACCCATGAAAAAAAAATGAAGTTTGGCTCACTCATTTACACATTTTGTAGGAGCTTTCATACTACAAACCACTAAATCTCATATTATCTTCTGAAATCTGTGGTGCAAAATTGGACAAATGTGCATGAATTAATAGGCAAAATTTGTTCCCACTGGGTAATATAAACAGTAGGTGAATAGTCCTTTTAGAGATGCTGCAGTTTTATGTTGTTTTCTTAAGAACCTCTGCAGAAACAGGAACAAACATAATGGGAAGTATGGCCATATCCATTCTGATGTGTAAGGGTGTGATCAGATGGTGAGAAACGATCATATCTGATCACACTGGAAAGGTTACTTTGCTGGGAGCAACCTCCCTCTGAGGGCTCCAGCCCCCCCCCCAAATAAGAGTAGCCCTGCTGCTGGACCAAAAAGGCTCAGCCTGGACATAGATCAGGATCGGATCACTATTGCCCATCCATCGTGTGATCGCTATGAAACAGCTCACACCAGACTGTGTCACAAGTGGTCCAAAATGTGAGCTATTTCCCCGTCTGATAGCAACCTCAGTTCCATTCAGAAAGTATCAAACTGTTCTCAGCTTCTCCTTTGGGCTGCCATCCCTGTCAGCCTAGAAAAGTAAGCAATCTCCATTTGGACTGCTACAAACCATGCTTCTACCTCCTAAGCAAAGCCACAAAAAACAAACAAACAAACAACCCCCCCCAACAAAAATACTTAATCCAAAGTGTTCTATTGCAACTGCTCCACACTTAATGAATGTGTTGTATCAAGATGAAGTAAGCAGCACACTTTAGGTTCAAAAACATCCTTAAAAGAAATGACCCGTTCTTCATAACTATCAGTACTGTACATGATTTCATCACATGGCCATTAGTTCACTAACGCTACTTCTATGCAAACAGGCAGGAGCTAATTCTGCGCCTAAGCAAAGTTCATATTCAGAACCCTTTTGTAAACCGAGAGCTGATAATCATGTAACAAAATTATATACTACTAGTGATCAACAGAGAGCAGTTGCTCTGTGACTAAGAAGGAACTGAATGGACCAGCAAACCAGGCTCCTGGCAGTTGTCCGGTTGAGCTGTAGCCAGCAGATTCTTAGCTTCTAATGAGGGGATCCCCTTAAGGGACCTTGGGGGTGGGGCCCGGTTTGGAGGCTAGCCAGACTGGTGCTTGCCCCAAGTGACAGGGGGCCACACCAAGTGGCCAAGCAGCCAGGAGATACCCCCAGATATTATTATTCCAACAGGTCTACCTAGCTGAGGTAGTGGTCACCAATCAGAAGTTACATCAGCGGATGTGGAGTATGACCTGGCTCCGATGCTATGCCAAATTGATACAGATGTAAACAATAAAGTTGTGGCCAATTTTCTAATTTTAAACATATGTTTGGTATGAGTTATTCTGAGGAGTAGGGCAACCAGGATGTCATTTGGTTATGCAAGTTGGCTTGTTCAGAAGCTGGTATGTGTATTTTCTTGGTTAAGACAAAATGGAGTCTGTTTGAGAAGCTGCACTTTTACGTTAGGCATGGAAGATACACCTTCTTCCTCAGCAGCTTATCTGGTGTCTCTTCTGGATTTCAGAAGGAGAGATGGATGAGTAAACTAATAGAACTTCGGTTAGTTAGTTTACTCATCCATCTATATGGAACACATTTGCCCACAAGCCGTTTTTGATCAGTTATAGCTGTAAAATCTGTATTTTTCTTTTCAGTTTACTGAGCAAACTGGTGACAATGAATGCAACACATATGAAAAAAAATGAACCTCTCTCTTCCACTTTCTCTAGCACATTAGTACTAGTCACAAGTGAAATAGTGGAAAATGAAAAGCATTAATGTATTTGCGAA